GCTCTTCCCAACTACATTATGTAGACTATGCTCTTATCTGACAACATTTTGTTTGATTTAGAAAAAATTTCTAGAAACTTTCTTTGAGATTTGACTAATGGAAATAAAAAACCCCATCTCCCTCTTAGGATAAAATTACTATGGACAAGATGGGGGAATTGGCCTTAAGAAGTTAAAAAATCAAAATATTGTTTTCATCATAAAACTTTATTGGAGCCTCGTCAATAAGCCTAACTGTTTTTGGGTACAAATTTTATGTGATAAATACGCATGTGATAAACTTAAAATTTTGATGGTTGTTAAACCAAACAGCTGCCCATATACTTGGAGTAACATTTGCAAAGTTTGGGATAAATTCATGCTTCATGTAGGTTGGAAAGTTGGTAAAAGAAATCAAATATCCTTTTGGCATGATAAATGGTCTCCGCTCCCTAATCCTTTTGTTAAGTATGCTCTTCCTAATGCTGACTCTATTCTACATGGTAGGGTCTCTAATTTTTACAAAAATACAAGAGGATAGAATTTTGATCTTTTAAGTCATTATCTCTACTCTAATATGATTCAACGTATCTCACTTGTGCAACCTCCTAATGAATAAGGTGAAGATGTTCTTTTTTAGAGACCCTCCTCTGATGGCAATTTTTCTATTAAATTTACTTACAAAGCTATGGAGTCTCATAAGGAACAACATCACTCGAATATATAGACTAAGATTTAGAAATGGCCTACATATAAAAAAATTGAATATTTTCTCTAGAAGGCTGCTTTGAATCGTCTCCAAATTAATCTCATGCATATAATTAGGAATACTCCCCAGTAAACGTAACTGTCCTTTTGGTTATAACTTCCCTAATTCTTCAATCCATATTTTACGTCATAGTGAGGAAGCTAAAGACATTTGGAAAAATTAGTTAATCCTACTAATCTTCTTCTCTCTCAATGTGTAGGAATGGATAATATGAAATGTAATGGTTGAAGCATGTAGCTTAAAAATAAGAAGAATGCCCTAGCAAAAACTTTTTGCATAAGCTTGTTGGAATATTTACAAAAATAGATGTAAGAAGTTATACTCAAAAGAAGATATCAGGGATAGTGATATTTCCTTCTCTAGCACCCAACAAATAAATAATGATTTGATAGTTCTATCCAAAACCTTTGGCTTGAACAAAAGAGATACTGTTAGTGATGTTAAATGGAGCCTGTAACACCCAAGAAATTTTAATTGTAATTAGTTGACCTAATGAGTCTGATTAGTGAGTTAATGAGGTGTGTGGCTAAAGGGGCCTAATTGATATAATTTATTATAATTTCATCCCTAGAAATAGGTTCAGATCGATGGCGGGCTACTCGGGCAAGGAAAGAGAAAGAAAAAGTGAAGGAGTGCCCTCTGTGCCATATGTCACGGTGTGTGGTCAAATTTTCATGACATACAGGGGTAGATTCAAATGTAATGGCCTCTCTGTGCAATGCGCTGTGGTAAAAGGCTACGTGTACCGTGACACATGGCTAAAATCATGATAAATCAATTTGTGTTCTATGTGAGAAAACAAAAAGAAGGAGAAGTAAGACATAAAAAACACGGTTGAGCTCTGCTAGGGCACGAACATTGAAACCCTTGAGGATTGATTGAGGCTCCCAAGCACTCAAGGTAAGTTTATTATGCTCTCTTCTTCCTTTCTCTCCCTCATTTATGAAGATTTATGATAGGGTTTAAGTTAAAAAGTAGATTTTCAATCTATAAGAGTTATGAGTTTGATTCCATTGGATAAAATGAATATAAAGAGAGTTGTTTGGGATAGGTAAACCTTACATTGATGACTTTATCAAAAGGTTGTTGGGTAGAGCCATTAGTGTATGAAAATTGTCATTAATGAGATAGTTGGGAGAGGTTTATGTCCATTAATAGTGGTCTGAAGAGTTATTAATATAATGTGTATTAATGGAACTTGGTGGACCCATTGAGTATGAATAGGTAGTGATTTATGGATTGATATAATAGAGTGTGTGGAGATTTATGTTGATAAATCTTAAAAAATGAGATAATGTTGGTATTATTGCTTATGATTGTAGTAAGGTTCATTTTGGCACCATTCAAGCTCGTGAGAAGCTTTAGCAGTATTTTATGTGAGGGGTAAACCTTTGATCTCTCAAAGGTTTGAGGTAATAGGGAAAAATCTAATTTTTATAGTTGAATGTTAATTGTATTTATGAAATGTAGTTGATAATTTAAATTAATGATACATATTGGCAATGTGTTTAATTTGTGAAATAGTTTTGGAAAGGAAAACCTTGATTATGCTACCCATTTGTGATTTATGAATTTGATTATGATTTGTCATTATGGGTGGAAAATTGTGATGTGTAACGTGTTAAGTATGTGGAGTATTTGAGTATGAGTATGTGAGTTTATGTGTCATGAATTGGTTGTTTGAAATGCATATTATGTGAGAAATGCACATAGCATGATCATTGGCAGGAGTCCGCCTAGGGAGAGGAGTAGATGAATAAATTTATGTGGTATTGGCAATGATCGTTGGAATCGAGAACTTGCCTTGGCACTGATTGTTATAATCGAGAGGTAGCCCTCGTCTCATGGTTGATTTGGAACTGTCCCACTTGTTCTATAAGAGACTTGAACCTATCTAGTTTTCATCGGTTTATGAGGAGGCTAGATTATGGGTATAACACCTCATGGTTTTTATTCTTGGAGAAAACTAAATTACATGGTGAGTAAGTTAACCCTGCCCGATAGCTCCTCACAAGTGAAAGGCTGGATTAGTCCGTGAAGGATGTAGCCACGTGATAGCCACTAGTTTCAAGTTGGAGGTAACAAGAGGGTATAAGATTGGCATTTGATCATGCATATAAACCTGGCCCCATGATTGTTAGTATTTTGATTCTGTATCAGTTAGAGGCGCATGGTTGTTATTATTGTGACCTCATGTTGTGCAGTCAAAATAACGTGATCATGTGTGTTTTGGGTCTGATCACATGGTTGTTAGTTTTGTGAACCATGGCCAAGTTCCTTATATATGTTATATAGTGTGTTTGCCTATTTGCATCTATTTACAATTGATATGCAATTGTATAAATTAGGTAAAACTTGGTTATTAAGTGGTTGTACTCACCCCTCAATTCTCAATATTTTCAAGGTCTAATTCATTGGATCAAAGTCAGGTAAAAGCACTCTGAGGCGTAATGTTTTGGTGAAATCCTACTTTCATGCCTCTTTACTTTATTTTGTGTATTAATGTTGTATAATTGCCAACAAAGATCACTTGTTATTATTTTTGCACTACTTGCATTAGTTTACGTATAACTTATGTATTTTGTACCCCCGAGTTAGTAAGTTTTAGTTGTAAATCTATAGATAAGACCAAAATACTTGTAAGTAGAAACATTTATATTTTTGAAAGATCTGAAATGAAAATGATGATTTTGTGTAAATTGAGGTTGAGTAGTGATTTTAAAATATATGTGTTTTTGATTGTATGTGGTGCATTGTATGGGTCTGCTAGAGTCCGTTGAGTGTGGTCGGATGATTGGTATAAGTTTTTGACACTTGTGATTGAGTTGGGATACTAAGGTTGTGCGTTTTGTGTGAAAAGTGGTGAAAATGGGTTTTAGTGTTCAATTTTTTTTATTAAAAAAAAGAATTTGATTGTGGAACTGGTGCCATTAATTAAAACTAGGAGAAAGCTTCATGTAAACACTGAAATCACCTCAATTGAACGTCGGACGGAGATTTGAGTCGTATCAAAAGTTCGCTCCCTATGCTGTCAAATGATAGCAACTGATATTGTCATTTTTGTGCAATGCGCCATGGTGTATAGCGAAGACAAGGATGAGCCATAACGCATATGTTACAAGCCACGGCGCATGTGTCATTTTCTGCACAAAATCTTTTTTTGAGTTTTAAAACTCATGGTTTTAAGTTCCATTTATTTTTCAAGCTTCCATATCATTTTCAACTCTGATTTGAACATGTTAAGTGTGTGATTGAGATTGAAAATTGAGTCTTAAAGATCCCATTATATATGTTTTGAAAATTGTTGTCATTTGTGTAATTATTACAACTTTGGTAATTCATTGAGGGTTAATCTCGTGATTACCTTAATTTTGGTGTTTAATGTGGTTAAGTAAGAGAGGCCTTACGAAACCCACCTAAACACTGATGTGTTAGACTTAACATTGATAGCTTAGTTAACATCAACAGTGTTGCATCTTATGAAGGCATCATCAAAAATGACAAAGGAAATTGGATTGAAAGATTTTCCAAATACTTTGGATATCAACCTAACACAAAAGCTGAACTCATGAGAATTTTCAAAGGACTCAACCTTTGTTGGAATGCAAAATTTACCAAAGTCAATGTTTACACTGATTCGATGGAAGTGCTGTCGCTTGTTAACAACACATACTCTAAAAGTCATCCTTTCTTTGGCATTATCAGGAAAATAAAAAAACTCATTATGAAAGATTCGATGGTCATTTTTTATCATGTTTATAAAGAAGCTAATAGATGTATAGATCTCTTAGCCCACCGATCTACATGTGATACTTTCAATATTATGATTTTTGATATTCTCTCAAGAAACTGTACAAACCTTATGATTTTAGATATGATTAGATCATAATTCTTTTACAGGGTTTTGCTGTGGCCTTAGAATAAAAAAAGTTCTAAGATAATAATTTATTATTTTTTAAAAATAATTTTAATATTTATAATTTTATTTGTTAAAATATAAGAATTAATATTTTAAATGATTAAAATAATAAGGATAAAATTATATCAAGTTAAAGTTCAAAAACTAATATACAATTGAATCAAAATTATAAATATTGAGATATAATAGGTTAAAGTTTAAGAACATAATTATAACTAAATTAAAATTATAATGATTAAATAATTAATTTTTTAATTTCAATATTTTGATTAACTTAAATTGATTGTTTGATTTTGATGAGTTAAATAGAGGGGAGGTTGAAAAAAATAGTAAAAGATGGAGCAAGTATAACACGTTCAACTGCTCTCTCTTCGTCCTTGTCTTGGGCTGTTACTTGGTTCGTCTTCCCTCTCTACCTACCGACGCGCTGCGAAGCCATGGCTCTGCAACTATGGGAGACTCTGAGAGAAGCCATAGTGGCTTACACTGGCCTCTCTCCGGCTACCTTCTTCACCGCGCTCGCTCTGCTCTTCGCCGCTTACTACGCCGTTTCGGGTCTGTTCGGGGCGTCGGATCCTCCTCCAGGGCCGAGGAATTTGGAGGAGCTGGTGCAGCCTCTGCCTCCGCCGGTTCAGGTCGGTGAAATTACCGAGGAGGAACTCAGGGCGTACGATGGCGCCGATCCCAAGAAGCCTCTGCTCATGGCTATCAAGGGTCAGATCTATGATGTGTCTCAGAGCAGGTATAATCGGTTTTTGCTTCTTAATTTTCCCTCTTTTATCGAATGTTAGTGGTTAATATTGGTTTCTCCGAACTCTTTCGGATGGTCAACGGTTGTTATCGATTCCTTTCATTGGCAATTTCTGGTGGTTATGGGGGAAAAAAAAGTGTTATACTTTATTTTTTTTCTTTTACTTTTGTACTGTAAATAATTTTATACTAGTTTATCTGGGTGTCATCACCGTCGCTTTTACAAAACTTTTGGGTACTTCAATGTGATTTTGATTGTTTTTCTGGCATATATTAGTAGTTCTGGTGTTTATTCTTCGTATCCCTATGGTAAAATTGTTGTCTGTTATCGGTGCTTTATTATTCTACTGTCACAGATAACAAATTAGGGTAACTTTTTTTTTTTTGGGACCCTAAATCATTTTAACCTTTTTCATTTGATGCATGTGAAGGAGGGTTCACCCAAATATGCCGTTCTTGTTATTGAATAGGACTAACTTTGATTGAAATAGATGCCTTCTGGTGAGCTAGGTAGTTTGATCTCAATTATCACCTTCCTTTCCAAATGCAGCAGTTTTTCCAAAGCCTGAAGAAACGTACTTCAGTGTAGTTTTAGCTGGGTCTGGCTAAAAAAAAAAAAAAAAAGTGTAGTTTTATCTGGGAATTATTTTGTGATGTCATTTTCTTACCTGTTGAAGAGGTCGACTTGTCACGTTGTATACTTTGGGAGTTTGCGACCCTTCATGGAACAAAAACTTTGTAATAATCTTCCGATATTTATACAAATATTTACTTGCCACGCTTCATACTGTGAATCGTGTGAGATATTTATTCTTGGTTTAAGAGAGGAAGTGTCTGATGGATGATGATAGATATGGCAAAATGTTAAGCAGGAGTTTCCCATTTCTAGTGTGCAGACAAACTCCTCAGGGTTTGCACCTTGTAGGAACAGTTCGTTTCTTTAGGTTCTTTCATTGCGACCTGACGGGCTTAAAACTTCAAAACTAATGAGTGGTTTAAATTAATAAATGTTAACAATTCTTTAGGCCTTTTCAGGTTTGCACAACATTGAGTGGATGCAAGTTGGCATCTTTTTTTCTTTCTCTTTCTTGACCTAAAAAACCATCCAAAAAGATAGTAATTTATTGTTGTTGCCAATTTGTGATGGTGGCTAGATGGTCTGCTGCAGCTAACCATGCAACAACCAGCACAACAATAACAAGACTTATCTCACTAGGTGAGGTCGGTTATATGAATTGCATGATGTTATTGTGCTCTATCATTAACCAAGCTCTTAAAAATATGGTTAACCATGATTAGACATATTCCAAGTCTTTGGTGAAACTTGGCTCAACCCTAAGTTCCTGTTCGGTTGTTAGAATCAAAGGGAATGGAATAGATTAAAAAAATAAAAGTAAAAAGGTGATTAAAATGTGGAGGGGATAGGTGAATCATATTTATAAAGGAGAAGGGTAATTTAGTTCATGGGATTAGGAATCATGATTCATGAGGCTTTTGAGTGTGATGATTCCCACATTTGGTGTATAATATTGAGTTTTATCATACTTATCATAAGAGAAAAGAGAGAAGAGTGATCTAGTTTATTTTTCTTTTGATTTTTTCAATCTATTCCATTTACATCTTCCTAGCAATCAAATGAGAGCTAAATGTTGCATCGACTCTTCCAAATAATTTAACCTTATATGTTTTACTTGCAAACCAGCATGCTACATGGCTTAATAAAAGGATAATTTGATATGTAAATTCTTTTGGTTTAATATTTTCAACTTTTGATGTCAATATCTCTGAGGATCTATTTTTGCAAAGTATAATGATCAGTTAGGAATGGTTTACTTTCACAAATCAATTGTCTTGCGAGAACACTGATTGATTATAGAGCTTTTTCCCCTGATACTTTCTTATAGGTGAGTTGAACTTAAGCACCATTTCTAATCTGAACACGTGTAAATATTTCTTTCCAGGATGTTTTATGGACCAGGAGGACCTTACGCTCTGTTTGCTGGCAAAGATGCTAGCAGGGCTTTAGCAAAGATGTCTTTTGAAGAAAAAGATCTGACTGGGGATATCTCTGGTCTTGGCGCATTTGAGCTTGAAGCCTTGCAGGACTGGGAATACAAGTTTATGAGCAAGTACGTGAAGGTTGGAACTGTCAAAAGGTCTGTTCCTGCAACTGAAGCTGAAACAAATGGTGAATCGTCAGAATCCACTCCTGGTGATGGTGCCGAGGTGGCTGCCAAGCCTACCGGAGATGGACCATCGGAAATTTCTACTGTAAAGAGCGATGAAGCCCCTTCAAACATCAATGCAGGTAAAGAAGAATAAAACAGTTGGATTAAGTCGAGTTGCCATTGCTACAGCCATCTTGCTTGTCGTGTAATCAAACTCTAGAGGAGCTGCTGAGAAGAAGACTCAAGATTACCCTCTTGGCGAATGTGTGTATTTGAAATCTTCATACTGATTTTCATTTAGTATAGGCCACTTGTTGTAATGGGACGAATGTTTGTTAGATAAATTAAATAATGAGTCTTGAGTGGTAAACCTCAGTTACGAGTTTCAGTCCTTTTTCTTTTGGGTTGTGTACCATAGACATGCGAATGCTATTTTAAATGAATAGAATGAAAAAAAAAATAGAAATATTTTTGCCTCTTTCTTTGTTTTTTTTTTTTCAAAGAAAAAAGTTTTATGAGACTAGATGGCAACTTGGCATAGCAAAGAATGAAGATGAAACCAAATAATGTTTATGCAAACACGTTGAGTCCCTTACCTTAACCATTGACACTAGGGTTCGATCACTCAGGTGATGAAAATGGCGGTGATATGCTTGAAAGAGTTATCTGTTATTTGGACTGTGACTTAGTTCGAATACAGATTAGTTAGAGTTATCCCCTTTCAAATATAAGATAATTTACTAAAAAAATAATGGAATAAAAATAGTGGATGGAGGATAACCATTTGAGATTGGGTTAGTGGAAATGATTAGTCTTTCATGAAGTAGTAAATTAATATTTGAATTTTTATTAAAAGATACGCTCACATTTAATATTTAATAGTGTTTTAAATAAGAATATTTCCATTAAAAAAATATAAGTCAAATAAGGAAATAATAACATGAATTAAGGATAACTAACAGTAACAAAGATTGGGTCTAACGTAAATTGCTAGTTCTTTATAATGAATCAAGATTTTATTTTTTGTTAAAAAATGTTCTCATGTTTAATGTTCAATTGTAATTGGAATAAAATTATCTGTAATTAAAAAAATACAAGTCAAGTAAAGAAATAGTAACATAGAAAGAGGATGACAACAAATGACGCATGAGATGAGGCCATGCGTACAAGTGTGAATCGGATTTAAAATACATGAGGTTTAGTTTAGAAAACGAGGGGAAAGCATGGAATTGAATTCTGGTGATGTTGATGTTGTCGGCGCACTCGCAATGCGGCGTCGTTTAAGTGAAGGGGTGAAATATCAGTCACGTGTGGCTGGAAATTTTGGGAAGACAAAACCAAATACACAAAACAAAGCGGACTGTTGGGAAATGTGGAATTTCCTTCTTGTCCAAATCACGATAAGGGATCCCTTCCCTGTCCCTCAAGCCCATTGCTACCGGTGACTCTGACTCGAGTTTTAAGGGTGAAAAAATCATTATATATATAAAAGTAAGGATTAAGGCTATGAGAGAATGCTACGTATTTAATTTTAAATTTGCCACATTTCTATACTTCGAGATGTCTTTTGAGTGATTCTATGCTTCGGAATCAGATTTGGAGTTAGGTTAGAAAAGTTTTATTATTTTTTATAAAATATAAAATATGATATTTAGGTTTGGAGTTAGGTATAGAATGAATTATTAATTTTTAAATGTATTTAAAGATCTATTTTTACCTATTTGAAATTCAAGTTTAATTATATTTAAATTTTAATTAATATCTATCTATTTAATAACTCTATCCAACCTAAATATATGGCAAAATTTTAAGTTCATAATATTTAGAGTATTTTTATAAATTAATACATATTTGTTTAGATTAAAAATTAAAATTTTTTTACTATTTAAATCTATCCTCTTGAATCACAAAAATTATAAATATAATTTTTATTAACATATAAAATTTGACATAATATATTTATATTTATTATATTTAACCTCGACGCCCATAATTCTGTGTATATATACTACATATATATATATATTATCAAAATTTATATTAATATATATCTGTTTAAATATTCAAAAAAAGTATTATGTATTTAAAATTTTATTGTTACCTATTTGAAATTTAAATTTGATTATATGTGTATTTAAATTAATATTTGTTTATTTAAATGCTTTATCCAACCTAAATATGTGGTAAAATTTTAGGTTCATAATATTTAGAGTATTTGTATGTAGATATATATATATATATATATTGATATTCAAATTTAAATTAATACATATGTGTTTAGATTATGAATTAAATTTTTTTTACTATTTAAATATATCCTCTTGATTATCAAAAATTATAAATATAATTTTTATTAGTATCTAAAATTTGACATAATATTTAGAGTATTTTTATAAATTAATACATATCTATTTAGATTAAAAATTAAAATTTTTTTACTATTTAAATCTATCCTCTTGAATCTCAAAAATTATAAATATGATTTTTATTAATATATAAAATTTGACATAATATATTTATAGTTATTATATCTAACCTTAATTTCGTGTATATATACTACATATATATATATTATTATTATTAAAATTTATATTAATATATATCTGTTTAAATATTTAAAAAAAGTATTATGTGTTTAAAAATTTATTGTTACCTATTTAAAATTTAAATTTAATTATATGTGTATTTAAATTAATATCTGTTTATTTAAACGCTTTATCCAATTTAAATATATGGTAAAATTTTATGTTCATAATATTTAAAATATTTGTATGCAGATATATATATATATATATATATTGATATTCAAATTTAAATTAATGCATATATGTTTAGATTATGAATTAAAATTTTTTTACTATTTAAATATATCCTCTTGAATATCAAAAATTATAAATATAATTTTTATTAGTATCTAAAATTTGACATAATATATTTACAGTTATTATATCTAGCCTCAACGTCCATAACTCCCTGTCTATATACTACATACATATATGTATGTGTATATATATATATTATGATTAAAATTTATATTAATATATATATCTGTTTAAATATTCAGAAAAAGTATTATGTGTTGAAAAATATATTTTTAAACATTTAAAATTCAAATCTGATTATTTGTGTATTTAAATTAATATCTATCTATTTAAACACTCTATCCAACCTAAATATATTGTTAAATTTTAGGTTCATAATATTTGGGGTATTTGTATGTTGATATATATATTAAGATTCAAATTTAAATTAATACATATATATTTAGATTTAAAATTAAAATTTTATTTTTATTAGTATCTAAAATTTGACATAATATATTTATAGTTATTATATCTAACCTCAACGTCCATAACTAAATGTATTTGAAATTTAATGATAAGTTTGAAATTCCGCGAGCAAATCTCATATATGTAAATTTAATGATATATATTTAGTTATAGATGTGGTTGGCAAATCTCATAATTCCGTGAGCTTAAAAAAATGTTGATTTTTACATATTTGAAATTTAAAAAATATATCTAAATATTATTAATGCAATTATTAATGTATATTTAGTTTAATATATATCTAAATACACACACACACAGAGATCACGTTTCGTGATGCACTTTGGAACTCAAAATATATTAATTTCATATGTTAAGTTTGGTAAAATTTAAATTCTTTAAATATCTACACTGAATAAAATAATTTTTAATATCTATCATTTTAATTTTTTTAATCACCTCTTAATTTTCCCTCCCAAATCATCCTTATTCAATTATAAATTATTAGGTTAGGCTAATAGCACATTTTACAACTTCACATTAGAGTCACTCTTCTAATTAATTGCATTAAGTTCATTCTCCTTTCCACCATTATTCATAATACCCATGGCTTCTACTTCTGAAATCCATACTATTCGTGCTATGAACACAACAAAAAAAGATTGGCGCATTATGGTTAGGGTGATTCATATCTGGAGATTACCAGGTAGAAATACATCCGAAGAATCTAATGGTGTTGAATTAGTCTTTCAGGATACTGAAGTAAGTGTTTATGCATTTTGCTTTTCGAATTCCCTTAATTATATAGCCCATGCATTGCACGTGAGTCTCAAAAAATTTTGATTTTTTGATATTTGAAATTTAAAAAAAAATGTCATGAAGAAGTTTCAAGACATGTATATTGGAACTCAAAATACATTAATTTCATATATTAAGTTTGGTAAAATTCAAATTCCTTAATGATTTCTACTTTTGTATTATTTGTTCTTATATTTCATGTTGATTTATGATTAAGTATTACTTTAACAATTAACTTATCATAGGGTGATCGGATTTCTGCAATTATTTAGAAACCTTTTGTGAGACGTTTTGAAGATAGGTTGCATCCCTTTAAAATATATGAAATTTCAAAATTTGGAGTCTCTCAGTGCTCTGGATCGTATCGAACAACGGATCATCCTTATAAGATTAGCTTCATGTTCTCTACTACTATAAAGTTGTGTCCTGAGACAGGTTCAATCCATCATTTTGGCTTCAATTTTATTAATATTTCAGATATTGCAAATAGGGAGGCAACGAATGATAATTACTTAATTGGTATGTATTTAAATTTTTTAAATTTTTTCTTCAAAAAACTCTATTTGATAATGTCCTATTTTAATCTTTTTTTATCTATTAAAAATTTTATTGCATTTTTTGGAAAAAAACTTGCCAATCAAATAAAAGTAGGGCAATTACCAAGTTTAAATTAACTATGTTTATCTATCTTAATCTTTAATGGTCTATTTTTCTTAATGACATGTGATTAAATGGCATATTTTTTTTTCATGACAGATGTGATTGGAAGATTATCTAGAATTGGAGAGTTGGAGGAACCAATTAAGGATGGAAAAAAGAAAAACGGATAGAAATAAGCCTAGAAGATGCAAAGTAATATGACACAAACTTCATCAATTAATATACCTGAAACCTTATTTAATTTTTGGTGCCTATGATGAAAATTCATTTGACACTATTCTTATCATTATAAGAAAAACAAGGTGAGTTGTACTTTATGGGGAGCCTTTACAGATGATGTACTAAACTTGACAGAGGAGGCATTAAAAAAGCCAATTATTATCATATTATAGTGGTTTAAGATTAGAGAGTTCAATAGTACGTGTTCTTACATAAATGTCTAAACGATATTAATTCAATTATATATACATTCTCTTTAAATGTTTTGATTCTTACATAGAAATGAGAAGGCTTACTAGCACAATGTATTGCTCGCGAGTTTTTGTACACCCTTCAATTCCAGAGGTCTCCAGTTTTATTTCTAGGTGAGCCTGTCATACTATAAAATTTTGATTTGGTATGTTATGTCATGTTTATACTATTGTCAGTGGGTTATGATTATGGTTTTGAGAAGTAAATTATACGAATATAATCTTATTTTATTTTTAGTCTTGAGGCATCAGGTAATCACTTGGATGAAGACATAGAGC